CAGCAGGAGTGGATGTGTCTCCGTGTCCCTCTGGGGTGCTGTTAACACTAGAACTGGCTTTTCACGCTGTCCCTTACGGAGTGTAAAACCTGTCCAAAGGACTGTGTGATGGTTGTCATCTTACTGAAGAGCTGCTTAATTCAGACCTCCATCTGCAGCAAACTAGCAGGAGTTGCTGAACAAGTCTAAAATGTTTATTGAATCAAAACTCCCACTCAAGTCAATGAGGCTTACGTCAGGGTGAAGCATTCAGAGTCTGGCCATGTGCGTTTGTGTCTTACTCGGAGCGTACACATCTTCTGAATTCCCAGGTTGAGCAGAAGGCATGAATTAAGGCTTAAGTTTCACTGCTGACTCATAGGTTTAGCTTGCTCACCTCAGTAACCTGGGTTGAGCCAAGGTGACGGTATTTAGCACGTTGTTCCAGCTAGCAAAGGGATCCTTAGTTAGGACACCACCATCCCAAGTCAGCATCACCCATCGCTTTCTGGAAAACTCTCCCCCTCATAGTTCAGATCATTCTGTGATGACTTTTCGGAGCGATCCATCATTTTTTGTTTTCATTTTAGCCACAAAAACGCTGAAAGCACAAGCAGTCCAAGTGCTTCAGGAAATGTCTGTCTTTTTTTCCAAGAGAACTGCTGTGCTAGGGCTTCTAATGCATCCTGGTAATTGCAAACATTCCCCTTTGGACTAGTCGTTGGGTTATTGTTATGTGCCTGTCACCATAGCATCTGGGCACAAGGCATGAATTCAGAAGCCTTGTTCTCTTCTGCACAGAAAATATTCTCTTCCTGCTTAGCAGTTGCTCAGATGCCTTTTGGTTGAAAGTCCAGGGATGCGTGGTGTTTTATCCCTGCTTTGCAAGTGGGGAAACTAAGGCACAGCATGGAAACAGGACCTGCAGCGACAGAGCTGTGCACAGGCCTGCTTTAAATGGGCAGTTTGCAAAGTGATGCCATTGCCTGGAAGCATTGGCCTGTCTGAGTTCTCTCCTTGTCCCTCAGGAGGCACAAATCTGCTTTTCTTGGCTCTCCCTTTCAGCCTCCGTCTTCCCTGCAAGTGCTGCTGGCTGTGGCATACTCGAGTCAAACGTCCTGGAATAAACACCCTTCCTTGCAGCCTTTTCCATTTGCGCAGGGCAGCTGGGCCAGAAAACGTCCCCTTCTGTCCGTCACCCTGCCTGGAGAGGGTTAGTCACAAGCCCTGGCTTGGTGACAGGTTAGGGCTTTAACCGTTTTGGCACTAGAGACCAACCTCCTGGGTCTGGGGGGCTGGTTTTCTTTTAAAAACTCCCAGCTGTTGTCACGTTGTTTTTCTTGCACAGTCCAGCCGCAAACAGAGCAGTGTTACAAGGGGTGGCTTCGGCAGTGTGAGCAGAGCATTAGTCTGGCAAATACAGGGTTTCCTAAGCTGATGGGTCCCTAATCCCAGGCACTTCTTTTGGTGGACCAAGCACAGTGCTAGGAGCCAGCAGTCAACGTGTTCTGATTCTGGGACTGATGATTTATGGCACTTGGCTTGCGATGAGGCACTATAGAGCTGGTTTTCACAAGTGCTGTGTGTGTACCAATCCCCCTGGAGTCCACAGGAGGTGCCGGTAGCCTCTTGCATTTGGGAATCAGGTGGCTGAATGCTCTGGCTTGTTTCCTCTGCTGTTGGCTTGAAAAATGTCTGTGGTATTGCAGGCTCCGTTCTCCATGGCAGTAGGTACCATGAGCATTTCTGTGCTGTTAAATCTGTCATCTGGCCTGCTTTGATTAGGAGATGTGATCCGTAATAGTCTGCAGAGTGATGATGTTCGTTCTGAGGGTGTAGTTACAAAGTGACCCTCCGTCTTGCTGAGGTTATCTCTCTACACATGCAAGAAAAAGTAGTTGATTTATGGGGTGGTTCACACTCTTGTCAGATCCCAAGCCAGATACTGTAGCGGAGGGTACAATTTAGGAGGCTTGTTTGCAAACGTGGCTTACCAGAGTATGTGGCTAAAGCATCTCTCTTCCGCGTGGGCTGGAACATGAATAGTTCTGTTGAGTCAACATTTAGTTGCTTATTTTTGTCTAGGTTGTAGAAGGGGTTTAATCATTCTGACCTTGAGCACCTGGAGTGTTATTTAGGGCTTAGTTTGCTTGAAGAGAAACTTGGAAGCAGCCTGGGAGGAAAGGTGGTAATGAGAGAGGACCACAGCTTGATGTCATTTTAATTATCATGATTACACTGTACATTCTTCTGGCTCAGAACTGGGGAGATGGAGAGTCCCTCATCTTGGCTCTGTACACCCTGTATTCCCGTGAAAGCCGAGCCTGTGACCCTTTGAATGGGATATACTGACACGTGGGATGTTACTGACTTGCTGCTGACTTTGTTTCTCAGGTGGAGGCAGAGGCTGTGAACCGGGCAATAACCATCGCCAACCAAACCAACTGCCCCCTTTACATCACCAAGGTGATGAGCAAAAGTGCCGCTGATGTCATTGCTCAAGCCAGGAAAAAGGGTAAGTTATTTCCCTTGGATGGAAGCGCCCTATTAGCTCATGCAGTTCAACTCCTTGCCAACATAAGCTTCATCCCTACAGGAAAGGTTTCTTTTTCCAGTGTTATCGTCCAGGCTCTTTTTTAAAAGGTCCCAAGCAACTGCTTCTGTCTCATCTCCCACAGACAAGTATTCAGTGGTCGTATCAGTGCCAGGAGCTGTTTCTTCTGTTCAGCCTAGAGCCTCTCTCTTCACGCTCATCCTACCACATTGAGCCGTGCGCCTTCATGTTATCGCAGAGAAATTCCACGCTGTCTCCATTTAGTGAATCCCCCTGGAGACTGCAAGCTGTGTCCTCCTTCCAGCTGCTCTGGTCTTTCCTTGGTGCTTTCCACTGTCCCCTCAGCTCCTTGCTTGTGAAACAGATACTCCTTATGTGCTGTGACTCAGCCTGCATCTGAACAGGAGTGGGGATCACTAGTCTGGATTAGGCTGGGAATTGCAATCACCTCTGATAACTCTGCCTGAGGATGCTGCAAGAAGCAAGACTCAGACCTGCTGTGGATGCTTCTGCCGTGTCTCTTCTCTCTACCCGAGGTCTGTGAGGGAGCCTGCTGCCTTGTCCCCAGGGAGCAAGGGTTACAAAGCATAGTCAGTGCCTGTCTCCCTGCTTTATTCTCTGACTAAACCCTTCATTTCTATTTAAAGCGGCTCTGGGTGGGTGAGTAAGGAGGAGGGATGATCTTCCCCCTTCTTTCCTCAGAATTCCTCAGAAGGGTTGGATTTAATTTTATGCAGTCTAAATAAGCCTGAATGGATATACAAATGACATCACTTTCCATCTGGGTGTTTGGTGTGAGAAGAGCTAATTTCTTACCGCAGCAAACAGATTTGTGTTTGTGTATTGGCTCAGAAGTACTTTGGTCCCATGATTCCTGTTAAATGAGTGCAGAGTTGGTGAGGAGGACTGATTTCCCAGGCATCTCTTTCTGTTCGTGGTGTGGAAGCAGCTCAAGCTGTTTGGGATAAACCTTCCTCTCCTAGCCCCATTAGTGGAGATCATGCTGAAATGAGAGGATGTGTTGACATGGCAAAGTGGCTGCATGTTGCATTACCCCAGAAAACAACTTGATGCCGTTGTGCAGCTCAATCCTGTAAGCCAGGGAAGCATCCCTTCCTATTTCTAGGTAAAGTACTGGAGACATATGCACCACAGAGATGGAGCATCAACAAAAACACCTTCTTGCTATGTTCACTGTCCTCCGGGACCACTAGCTGGCAAGTAGAGAGGAGCATTGGGGTGAGGGACTGTACACTTATATTGCAGAAGCCATAAAACACAACGTGACTTGGGTGGGTGTTACCCTGCGTATGAAAGGTGCTGGGATTGTCCCAGCTGAATGATCCACAGAACTCGCTTTATTTAGCCTCCTGAGAGAACTAGCATACGCAGTTTTCATTCAGATTGCGTTTTCTCCTTATATGGAGAGTTTGGGGTGTAAGTGGCACACCATTCTCTGTTCCTTTATTTAAATAATTCGGTGTAAATGCTGTGCAGTTACCCAACTGGGTAACCCAGGAGGGCCACACACACTAGTCTTGCCCTCCCAAGCAACAGAGGAAACATAACTGAAGACTGTCCAAGGCGAAAACAAAACAGAATTGACTTGCTAAATGGAAAAGAACGAATGTTATTTAAAGCCAGATGTTCCCAGTGGCATTTGTATGGGGGAGACTCCCTGCAGACTCTGTCGTTGGCAGATCTGGGAGCTCAAAACATCGCTCCCTGCAGAACAAGCCTCCCAATGTATTGGCCCACAACAGGCTTCCCATTAATAGCCAGCGTGTGTTTTGCCTTGTTCTGATTTCGTAACCTTATTTGTGGCAAGTGATGTCAGGCAGCCTCTTCCTCGGCTGGTGGATCCCCTCTGACAAAGGCTGTTCCTACACCTCCTGTTCCAGTGTGGTCCTGGAAGCAGCATGAAGCCGGTTAATGCGTCGTTCTGCCTCAGCTAACGCGCTCTTTCCCGGCTAGCTCGAGAGCCTGTAGACAGAACAGTAGCTCAGACAATATGGTGAAAGAAAGATCATATTTTCTTTACTCTGTGTGGTGAGGTGTGCAAGACCCTGCTGACCAATTCTGGCGTTGCCTTTGCCAGTCTTTTCTGATTGAAGTATTTAGGGTTAGTGTTTTAACTACCCACGCCTTTTGCAGGCAGATGCAAATCCATGAAGTGTCTGGGCTCGGAAGCCAGATGGATAGGCACTTAACAGACCTGCAGGAAGGTTGCATTTGGTGAGCAGATCTGTGGGGCTGACAGCTTGCACTGCTTTTGAAGTTGCAGCATCTTGCATCTGCTTGGTGTGCAGATGTTGCTGGTGCATTCCAGCTTGCAGAGTATCCTGGCCTTAAGGATTTGCTGTTCCTTCATGTGGTTCCAAAAATGTTAATGAAGGGGAAGGATGCACTGGTGGTTAGCACACTGGACAGAGTCAGAAGATCCAATTTCACTTCCTAGTTCTGCCACAGATTTACCGTGTATCCTTGGGGGAATCACTTTGTTTCCCTGAGCTGCATTTGCGAACCAGAAACACCAATACTTCCTCTGCAATGGGCTTTCTCTGTAGGCAGGAAACTTTCCTGAGAGGAGTTTTCTCTTGCCTGATCTTTGCATAGAGCCTGCTCCAAAACCCAGCCTTGTTACATCTTTAATACCTACGCATTTATAAAAACATTGCAGGTGCTATTTTTTAATTCGTTTTCCTCCACATCCTTTCTACATCAGACTGGATCTCCTCAAGCTCTTCCAGTTCCCCTCAGCCTATTTCATAAGGTTCTTGGCCCAGGATACAATACAGTGAATCTTTACAGTAACCCTTTCAGGCACAATTTATCAGTGCCAACCTCAGCAATTGTGTAGAGGCATTGTGCACATTTTGCTGCTCCAAGCTCTTATCAGGAGCAATATCTTTATTTTTAGTTAACACTCAGGTATTTAGTTGTTTGAATACTTAGTCCAAGGGACTGGTTTTTGGAAAATGCTCAGTGTTCCTTTAGAAACCTCAAGAAAGGCAGGTAAAATTGTTTGCTTGTGAAAACATGCCCCATGTAACATAACAGTTTCTGAGGAGCGTTGAACAGGCCAGGAGTTTAGTGATGTCTGAGCATCTGGTTAGGCAGGCCAGTGAATTCAGTCCGATGTTGTGTCTCTGTGATCACACTCTTAAGGGGAAGTACTAAGAAAGCCTGCAGTGTGTGATGCTGGCATAATTTACCCAACTTGTCCTTTTTCAGAAGGATGCTTTGTGCCAGGAAGGAGATGCATATTGCTTGGTGCTCACAGTGGATTTGTCTGTGTTCCTGTCCTGTAGGCACTGTGGTGTATGGAGAGCCCATCACAGCCAGCTTGGGTACGGATGGATCTCATTACTGGAGCAAGAACTGGGCTAAGGCAGCAGCTTTTGTTACTTCCCCACCACTGAGTCCTGACCCAACCACTCCTGATTTTCTCAACTCACTACTGTCCTGGTGAGTAGAGCTTTTGTGTTCATACGACATGTGCTTCATCATGAGACAAGTTGGTGATAAAAATAATACCTGTTGTTGCCAGCAAGCAAAAGGCTGTTTTAGGAGTAAACCTGTGACAATAAAATATCTTAAGTACCTGTCATTGTCTTTTCCAGTGGAGACCTCCAGGTTACTGGCAGTGCCCACTGCACCTTCAACACCGCTCAGAAAGCTGTTGGGAAGGACAACTTTACCCTGATCCCTGAAGGAACCAATGGGACTGAAGAGAGGATGTCCATCATCTGGGATAAGGCAGTGGTATGTCACATGTGTCATAGGCTTAGCCTGCAACTAGACATTCAGAGCTGAAAGAGCTGCAGCAGCGTGTTATTATCTCCTCCCAGACGCTTGTTATGGTCTTTATGCTTGAGGTTTTTGCCCCTAGAGAGATCATTTGGGATCTGCTGTGCTGTCAGCTGATTGCTTTTTGGAGCAGGCCCCACCTGGCTAATGCAGTGACTCCTTTTGTCTTTCCCCAGGTGACCGGCAAGATGGATGAGAACCAGTTTGTTGCTGTGACCAGCACAAATGCAGCTAAAATCTTTAACCTGTACCCGCGGAAGGGCCGTATTGCAGTGGGCTCAGATGCTGATCTGGTTATCTGGGATCCTGACAGTGTCAAGACAATCTCTGCCAAGACTCATAACATAGTAAGGGTATTTTCTACGATGTGAGCTCTGCTGCTCGCTTCCTCCTCTCTTCCTTCAATGCCAGACTGTGCTGCCAACAACTGGAGCTCATGACAACTCAGGGCTTTGTTTTCTCGATGCCCCAAGCCCTCTGTGGTCTTACACCCAGTACAGCTCCGCTGTGTGAGCAGAAGGGAAGACGATCGAGTCCAAATCTGAAATCACATGAATACCCAGAGATTCCCCTCGGAGCAAAGAGATTGTCTGCTCTTTCTGAGTCTTGAATGCTTGGATCTGAGCACACAGAAAGCTCTTTAAATCTTCTAAAATATCAAAAGGCCTCTTATCGCCATGTGTCATTTAGGACCTTCTGACTCGCTAGCAGTGGGAATGTGAACTGCCCCTTTTCTAGTTGGGGTCAGTGAAGCTTGTCAGCTCGTGGACACCTTCACTGGAGATCCGATCCAGATCAATGAGTCTGGATTTACACCACGTACTGATCTGGCACGTATGTCTGGAGTCAAACATGATTTTACTGGTGATCATCCCAGTGTTAGTTGGCACGGGGACGCACAAGGCAGTGCCCAGACTAACCAGACCTTTCCCTTGTTTCCTCTGCAGCTTTGTGGTGGCACTGTTAGAGGCCCTGTTTGCTTGTGGCCCACAGCTGTGTCCCATGTCTTATACCTGGCTCCTACAGTGAAAAAGCTGTCCCACCCTGTGGGAAACTAAAGAATGGTCCCAGTGCAAAGGGCTGGTTGGAGTCTCCCTGTGACATTCGAGCACAGTCTCAGAGAAAGCAACCACTGTTTGCATTTGTTGACAACTTGTTTCACTGCTGGCGATGAACCTATGGAATGTTTCCCTGGAAAAAAACTCCTTGTTCTTTTTTCCGTGAATGCTTTCATTCACTGGAGCTGAAGGAGCAAAATTTTCTTCCACACTTGGATCCTTGGGCACATTCACAAAGAAACTTTTTTTAAAGGTTTGGTTCACTTCCCTGTGACTTAACTCTGTCAGAATTGGCCACAGACGGCCTGGATTCATCCTGCCTGTGGTTAGATGTCTAACAAGAGGCATCCAGACTCAGGAGTCTGGTCACTTCAGTCACCTTAGAGGTGCTTCCAGACTCATCACACCTCCAGTCTGGAGAGGAATGACTTAGAGGAAAGACCCCAGGGATGTACTGCTCTTAGGTGCCAAATTAGTGGTCTGAACCTGGGCTCGTGCTTATGAATGGCTGAGGGAGCTGCAAGTAGCTTGCTGGCTGGAGTACTTGAAAGTCCTTGCCGTTTAATGGCTGTTGTCTTTAGGAATTGCACTCTATACATTTCCTAACACAACATTCAGAGACTTTACCTTTTGTGAAAATGCTCCAGTACGATCAGGACTGACTCCATGATTTTGCTGTGGATCTGGGCTAGACGGAAGGAGAACCGGATCCACCGTGGAGCGACCATTCAGACATACTTTATACGCTAAGGACTGCAGATCCCCTTGAAACTCTTGCACCGTGTAAGAGGCCTCAGCGGTCAGATGCCAAATGCTGCATCTTTAAGTTGTGCCAAGGCTAAGGAGGCTCTCGTTTTCAAGTAGTTGGTTTAGAGCTTGAAGGGCTGTCTGAGGAACAGCAGCTTTTTTTCTTAACACGTCCAGCTCTAACCTCTTCCCCTGTCATTGTGCCGTGTGTTATACCTGGCAGGACACCTGTTGGGGTGTTTTTTCAGAGTCTCACCCTTCAGAGTGCCTTGTGTTAGAGGAGAAATTGGTATGAGTGATGCCTTTAGAGTTAAGGCATCCTGGTTTGTTCAAGTATAAAACAAAAGCCCCTTTGAAAGTCGGGCAGAGCGGTTGCTGCGACACAGGGAGACGTAGTGATTATGTGGCATCAGATGATTGTTACTTTTTTAAACGCTAGAGCAACATACGGATATTTTCCAAGAATTCACGCTGCTCTTGCCACTGTCTGGCAAGGAAACATTAGGAGCTAGAGAGGGAGATAGTGTTGTTCTTGGAAACAGTCTACTTCATAAGCTTCTAACCGAGCCTCCTCCTTTGCCACCACAACTGTTTTTCAGAGTAGACCCGGTTCAGTGTCAGTTTAACCACCATTCTAGCTAATTGTAAATCTGCAGTCAGCCTACCCATACTTATAACACACTTCAAGAGCAACCTCCGTTATTAACTCAGAAAAAAGACCTGAGTATGTCTCAGAGATGGTCACTAGAGTTAACAGTCCCCAAATAACGCGGTTGTAGTGATCTCACTCAAGGTGCTTCATGGGTGGGACGTTTACCAGTGATTCCTTTAAAACTTGTCTTTTTTCCGTGGTGTAATGTTTCCAATCCTGTTAATTGAGGATGTGCAATCCCATTAGAGTAAAACAAGATTGTCCTGGTCCCTGACCCATCAACCAAAACACTGGATTGAAATACCGCTTGTCAAAATTACCATCGTTTTTAGTATGAAACTCAGATGAAACTTTGTTTGGCTCCTAAATCGCCCACAATTCCAAAGAGATAGGTGCTTATATGGATTTTGGCAGGAGTGATATTGTGATATTCTCATTTGAAAATATCTTTCCTCTTTATGAATCGAGTTGCAATGGAAATTTTGCATGAGTAAATCCTTAATAAATTCAGACTGATAATAAAGACCAGCCTTTCTATTACACGCAGCGTATACAACTCGGGTAAATGCTGTTGAGTTTGCTTCCATCTGTCCTTAAAATTTTGGCAATTAGCATGACTGGTGAATGCTAATTAACGCGCAGCCGGCTTTGCTGGGATGAACAGGTTTGCCTCATGTTGTCTTTTTGTTTGTTCTAGTCTCTGGAGTACAATATCTTTGAAGGCATGGAGTGCCGTGGGTCTCCCCTGGTGGTTATCAGCCAAGGGAAGATCGTGCTGGAGGATGGGAATCTCCATGTCACCGAGGGATCTGGTCGGTATATCCCCAGGAAACCGTTCCCTGACTTCGTTTACAAGCGCATCAAAGCAAGGAGCAGGGTGAGTATAAATGGTTGGACGCGCGTTTGTTCTTTCACCGCAACTCCGGAGTGAAGTGGGTGGAAAACAGATGCTGTCCCCTGGCTCGCAGATACACGCTTCTGCGACAGAAAATGTTCTCTGGGTAGGAGCCATATTTATCTCATTCTTCTTTCATTTTTGCTATTCACTTGAGTCACTACAGGAATATGCTTTGGCTTTTCTGCCAATTTAATTTTTCTGCTCTTTAATTCTTCTTTGTCGTGGGACACTTGGAGTGTGTGTCCAGGAACTGTACAGTCTGGATACGAGTCAGTCTGCAGATAACCCAGCAGGCTTCTGCTGTCACAGAAGTACCAAAATAAATTATTTATAATATTTATACATCAAAGCTTTCAGCGAGAATTTAGAATTCTGATTTATTGTTATAGATACGTTATGCTACTTTCCCTTCTGTCATATATGATCAGATGCTCTTGTCTGGTGACTGGTGAGTCACAGGCACAGCCTACTGACTGTTTAAAAGTGAGAAATTTCTATTTTTTAAGAGGCTAAAATTGTAGGAAAAGTGTTTTTGTAAAATACACCCATTCAAAACAGAAACCGCCTTTTGATATGCCTTTAGTTGGTAAAAACTGACAGAGAAGATGACACTGAGCTTGGCTGCAACTTAGTTGCTGAGAATTTAAGAAGTTTATTTCTTGATGAAGTCAGATTTCAGAGGAGAAAAGCATTTTGAGGTTGGAAGTGTTGCCCTCTCCTGGACAAAACCAGAGCTGTGTTAGTTCTGCTGACCATCGGTAATTGTCCTGTTCCTTGCAAATGGTCTTTCCTTAATTGTTCTTTTGAAGAAATTGCAAGTTATCAAAATTACAACCTCAAATAATTGAGCACCGCGGAGAACAGATCCATGGTTTCTGCTGTCTCCCACAGAAGTACGTGTGTGACTTATAAATCCAATTGGGCAGCATCTCAACTGGAATAATTGCATTTAACCCAGTCTAAAGCTGCCTAGCTGGCCATGTGAGGCTGGCCTGGCTCCTCTTTTTGCAGACCTGCCTCTGTTTCAGCATTGTTTTGATTTTTGGGGATGGGTGATAAATTTCATTTAAGAGTTGTCAGGAGCCTCTAATACAACGACAGGTAGGTTGAGATGATTAAACGACAGAACTTGTGGTGCAGGGGACAGACTGGCTGTCTTCTGTAGGCTGCTCACACCAGCTAGCAACGAGCTGGAGCCACAGCAGTCCGGAGCACGTTTCATTTTATCCACGCTGCTTCAGACACCAGCTTCCACCCGAGGATCAGTACGGAGGAGATGACGTAGGCTTTCAAATCCTCTTATCAGAGACAAATCTGGAAATGTGTGTCGTTGGCTTAGCAACTTCTGGCCAGCTGTTTAGTTCTGTTTTGAAGGCTGTGTTGACCCTGACGGCTGCTGGCTTCTGTGTTTTGCAGCTGGCCGAGCTGCGGGGTGTGCCTCGAGGCCTCTACGACGGACCCGTCTGCGAAGTGTCGGTGACACCGAAGACCGTCACACCGGCGTCTTCAGCTAAGACGTCCCCTGCCAAACAGCAGGCCCCACCCGTGAGGAACCTGCACCAGTCTGGATTCAGCTTGTCTGGTACATGCTTTTATGGGGCTAAATGGCTGCGAAACCACGGCTTGTTCATACTCCCTTAGTCTGAATTAATTCTACTGAAACAGGAAGGTAATGAGAGACACGGAGATGTGTTCTTAGCTTGGAGGTTATCCCTTTAGAAAGGAAGAAGAGCAGTATAGGAGCTGTCACAAAGTCCTCCTTCTTTCCATGCCGTGGCACGAATGCTGAGTTACCCCCTTGTGTTCTGGGCTCGGTCCTCAGCCGGGCGTCTGAAGCGGGCAGATGGCACCAACTTCAGCAGAGCTTTGCAAGCTGGGACCAGCTGTGGCTCTGGTATGTGGCAGATTTGATTTCTCAGCGTGCTGTTTCAGTGCTGGGATAAAGAGGAATAAAAAGGCTCGCTACGGGAAGACCGTTCGGCCAAATCTTACCGGTGCAGGGCTGGGTGGCTCAGGCGTTGGCTGCGGAGATGTTAGTGCAGAACAGGTTTCAGCAGAATTAAGGCGCCGGAGGCCAGTGAGGGCTTTTCCTCCAAAGATGATGTGTTTTGGTGCACACTTGGAGCCCGGCCTAAGAGGACTCGATGGGTTTCAACGCAGCCGCGCTCTCCCTTGTCCTCGCTCACCTCAACCTCTCGCTGCACCAGGGGGACCTGACGTTGCTTCTCTCTCCCGCAGGGGCACAGATCGACGACAACATCCCACGCCGCACGACTCAGCGCATCGTGGCACCGCCCGGCGGACGTGCCAACATCACCAGCTTGGGCTAAGGACCGACCCCTTCTGTGCCCGCCTAGCGGACCGGGGGACGGGGGCACCTGGAGACCCTTTTTGATTCTTTTAGAGCCTGTGACAGTTACTGCGGGCAACCAGTGAGGGGGGGGCTGAAGTAAGGCGCCTCTTTCAGTCCCCTCAGATTCCCTCCTCATCTTCACCAACCCCTCTCACTTCCCCCCCTCAGCCCCTGCACATTTAAAGAAATAAACCCTGTTTTGACACCTCTGACATGCAAAAGTAAATGTAAAGAGGATGTTTGAGATATGTGGCCTCTGTCCCATTCAGCATCTTTCTTTTAATAAAGGAAGGATAAAGTGAATTTCCCGGGAGCTGCCTTTAAGACACACACAAAAAAAGGAATAAATAAATAATAAATGTAAAAAATAGCTTTTTTTTTTTTTTTTTTTTTAAAATGTCAAGCAGAAGAGTAGTTCAAGGGTTTTAAACTGGATATTCTGTAGGGTTCTGTGTTCCAGCAGAATAGCTAGGCAAGCACGGAGGGACACGAATCCCAGCCTGTCTGTAACCATTCCCCACCACCGCCTTTGAGGTCACTGAATAGCTGTCTGCTGCCAAGAGAGACAAAACAGGACCCAGCCCTAGGAATTGACAAAGCGCATCGCACCCAGCCATCGGGTGAGCTAGAATCGTTGGGGACTTTGGTTCTGTTGGTTTGGTTTTTTCTTTACTTTTATTTTTTTTTTCCTTCTGGATTTTGCTGCAGATTAGGTCCTTGAGGAAACTTTTTTTTTTTTGTTATGTTTGTGTGTGTGATTTTAATATGTTTGTATCATGGTGTTTACGAAGCCTTATCTAAGAACTGGGGGATCTCCCTGTTCTTCCTGGTCCTTCCCAAACCTCATTCAAGTTACAGACTCCCGCTAGTGTCACTGCCACTGCCACCCTGGTACTTCAGGTGTCCCTAGGTTGCATCGTGCCAGCCAACGCTTGCCACTTAGCTGCAGCAGGAGGTCGCGGAGCAGGTTCATAAGCTAGGATCTTCGCTTCAGTGTACTAGGTCTTGAGCTGGTGCAAACAAAGGGGCTGGATACCAGCTGAGGAGCTGGGACGGAGTCTCTCGAGAAGTTTTTAGCAGTCTGCTGTTCCTGGAGGTGGAAATCGATAAGCAGGGGGCCGTAGGCAAAGAGCAACTTGTTGCGTGAAAGATTTCTGTAGCAGCCATGTTCCCCCTTCCTGGCCATCCATGAGTGGTTATTTAAAACTTTATGAGAGCTTATCTTTAGCTCTTGTGGAAAGGCCAGTCAGTTGAGCGTGTGCCTGAGCATCTGTGGCAATTCCAGTTCGAGTCCAGATGCCCAGCTGTTGTAACTGGGAGCCTCAGAGCAGCTCGATGGGTCAACAGCAGCTGAGAATCTCTCATTTCGTGGTGCGAATTTCACTCATTCCTTCAGGAATCTGCCTTTGTGCAAATATTCATGAGAAGGCCTGGTGGTTTCCCACCCTTCCTCAATGGCCTGCTGCCTCGTAGTTGAGAAACCAGAGGCCGTGAGTGGTCTGTAAATGAATTTAGGAGCCCCAGCTTCTGTGGCAGTCAGCGGGATCTGGGCATTTAGCTGTCTTCTGGGATTGAAGGTCTTTTAGCCCTAGTATTGGAGGCCTATATTATATTTGGGACGTGGAGAAGAAATCTGCACCGTTAGGTTCCCACTTAACCTTAGCTGGAGGGCTCGGCGGTCCCAAGGACTTGGCCTGTCTCAGCACAGGGAGCTTTTCCACCTGCAGTTAACACAGCGTTACCTCCACTGTCTGTGTGCCCTGGCGCTTGGCTGCATCTTCTGCTCGCTCTTCTATTTGTACTTTGCCACGTTCATCGACCTTGTTTTTCCATATTTGTGAGTATTTTCTTAAATGGTGTTTACAGGTTCTTTTAGGGGAAAAAACTGTATGTATGAAGGCTTTTAAGAAACAAGTACCAAATTTATTGCTATGAAGTATCAATGCTGGGATTTGCAAAGGATCTGGAAGCTACTTAGGTACCCAAACCCTCCCAGCTTCAGCACCTAATTCCTTTAGGCCCCTTTGAACACAGAAGTCGAGAAAAACATTGCCGTATTCATCCATGCATTTCGCATTTAGGTTTAACCCTTGGGTCTTTTCGTTTTGCATAAAAGAGTTTGCACTTTGTTTGTTAAGTAATCCGTGAACTTAATATATATTGCAGCTATTTTCATTTTTTTTTCACCTGTATGTTAAAATCAATTTGAACGAGTTGGGGAGAAAAAAAAAAAGAATTGCAGAACCGTTTCAATTCTACGAAACACTTGCGGCTCTTCAGTATTCACTTAAGTCTTCCTTTTTTTTTTCCTTCACTGACTCATGATGACTTTTTCGTTTTAATTTGTTCTTCAAAAGGAAAAAAAAAATCACAAAAAAAGATTTTTGCAGGCTATGTAAGCATGTTTTTTCCTGTGAGAGCTCGTCCGCTTTGTGTCTGTTTAATGAATGTCATATGTAAATGCTTAAAGAAAAAAAAAAAGACGATGACTTAATTAATTAACCGCAGTGACTTGAAGCTCTAAAAATAAAAAAAAAGTAGGATTTAATACTAGCTGGATTTAACCCTTGGATTTGTGATTGTGAACCATGAGTGGAGGAGCTGTAAGTGCTAAAGCTGATCATGTGTGTAGACAAAAAGAAGTACTGATATTTGACCATTGTCTCAATGGCAAAAAACCCCACCCCAACCCCAAGTCTTGTGTTTTATTCCTTAAGAACTCTGTGTTATATTACCATGGGAACTCCTAATAAAGACAAAATGTTGTTGTTTCACTAGGTGCATCTGTGTCTCAAGGCAATATGTGTTCTGTGTAACTGCGTACCTTGGCTGGTGCCTTCAATGGCTGAAAAGGGACAGAGCTCTGAATTGGGTGCTAATGCAGGCTGATGGTGGTCCAGAGCGAGCTGTACGGTAGCAGAGGTGAAGATGAGGTCCCGTGGTTCCTTGGAAGATGGTGGTGGTAAAGAGGAATCAATGGTCCACAGTGTAATTTCCTTTAGAGAAAAGCAAGTCTCTTCTCAGGGCGGTTGTCTGTTTGAAGCAGTATTTGGCGAAGCAGAGGCATTTGCCTGAAAAATCCTTGGCTCTGCATTGCAGAGATCGCTGAAGAAATGTGAGCAAAAGAAGCTAAAACTATTGGCATAGCCCTCGGCCCTCCAATGTGTTTCTACTTGCACCCTCCTAATGGAGGAGGGGAGAGAAAGTACAGCCGTAAATAGAAGCCACACACAGATAACTGAATGGGGAGTGTTAGAGCTGGCTGGAGAAACGCCAGTGAAACTTTCGGTGGTGGTGGTTGGGTTTTACTGTGTCACAGAGATGCTGTGAGTGAGATCGCACCGGATCGTGGGAAGGGCTCGGGAAGAGCCAGCATCGCTGTCAGCCGCTCAGACCGTTGGTTGCTGCGTCCCTGCATCCACCAGATCAGCCCTGGCGGTGATCTTCCCCCAGGTCCGAGCACAGCTGGAGTTTGCAGCTGACTCTGCAATGATATTTAGCTCTTGTTCCTCGTCTGAACAAAACCAAATGTTTCAGTGCTCTGTGAAATGGGATTAGTTTTCTCCACACAGCTTTAACTGGCACCCCTACCCAGTGGGGAAGTTTTAGGAGGGTTTCCTAAAGGGGCAGTGGTCATCCAGACTTCTGCTTAATGTGGGGATCGAGGCTCTGTCATCAATGACATGCAGGTATTCCTCGACTGGCAGCTTAAATTAGATATTAGCATATATGCAATCAAATCCCATAGAGCAGGGTTAGCGGGTCACTGTGTGTAAGATTCACTAGCTTGTCCCAACAACAATATCCCAGTGAAAGACGGATTCAGCCTAAAGCGCTGGTGTTTAGTTAACACATCTGCAGAGCCTCCATTTGTTTTTATTCTATTATTTATTTCTTCTTGCAGTGTCTAAATTGGAAAGAAAGAAACCTCTTCCCCAGGAAATCAGTTCCAGGGACTCTGTGAACCTGGTCCATGTTGGAACAGGCCAAAAAATACCAACTGAAGCGTATAGAAGTTTTTGAGGTCAGGAAGAAGTCATCAGCAGCCAGATCTAAATCTAATGTGTACTGAGGAACCGAGCCAGTGAGAAATCTCAGGAAAATATTCAGGTCAGTGGGGCAGTGCTGGTTTGCTGCTACGGCAGAGCGCAGGAGTAGCCAAATTTTGTCAGCCAGGTAGTTCCTTATGCTGGCAGCAATGAGGCCCAGCTCGTGGCTCGTTACGTATGTGCCGATGTGGTTCTCTGCAGCCCTCATCGACTGCTCTGCAGCCACGCGTGGAAGACCCGATATAGCTCTAATCTGATCTTAGCACTGATGCGGAATTAGTGGCTAACAGGAGAAGTAAGTAAGTAGAGGATGAATGTGACTCGGTGACCTGGAACACTAGCTGTCAGCTCGTGAGGAGAGGTGGGTTATCAGAGCTGAGGACAGCGTGGCTTGATTTATTCCTCAGTGGCAGGGCGTTGGGAGCAGTAATTGTCACTGGTCCTTGCATCCAGCTGTCCTGCTTCAGCGTGTGCTGAGACCTAGTGCAGCAGGTTCAAAGCCAAGGCTTCTCTGACCCCATTCATATCTGTGTTTATTATGTATCTCTATACAAGCCTATGTACGTGCCTCTGTCCGACCCAACTGGTTTTTCAGCAGTGTTAATTTGCGCTGTTTTCCTGCAAGCTAAAACCAGTGTTTCTGCAGCTTAATACCTTCCACCACAGTAATCTGAGGGTTCTGAGTGCCCAGGCCCCCAGGGCTCCTTGGCAATGTGGACCTAGTTGCTTTGCACTTCAAAAAAGCCCACTGTTGGGTAACCCTTAGTGTGGGTCCCATGACTGGCACCCTCATGTGGGCTAGGACCGTATCACACCCCTAAATAAGGTACTGTATATGACTCCAGATGGCTTGTGCAGGACAAAAATCCTATTAATTAATACTGTTTAATTAACTTAAATTTCCCAAGATCTTTATGACTCTAAAAATGAAAGCATTTAGTACTTTTGGCTGCTTTTTCTACTACTTCAGAACCGGTTTTCTCCCCTTTGTTAGCACGAAAGGTGACAGTTGAGCTCACTGCCATTAGGTGGCAGCAGGACATGCAAAAATGAAAATGACAGACTCCCTTGAGGGACATGGACCATGTTAAGGATGATGTAGGATGTAATAAATGTAGAACACGCACAGGGCTTATGATTACTGTGCCAGAGAGATGACACACATATATCCTCTCTATTATATAATATATTGGATAGTGTTTAAATGGTAAAAAGATATGAATCACCTGAGTGTATTCTGTTGCAGTTTAAGCCTAACAAGACACCCTCCTATAATAAAATACAGAGCAAGCCATAAACTTTATCTATCAATTTAGTTA